AGTGACTGAAGTCATGAGCATGTATGTCAGTAATACAGGGGATGTCATAAAGCAATCAGACCTGTCACAGAGCCTGGTCGAGACTAATGCTAGAAATATATGATTTTAACTCAAGCCATCTATATTAAGTCAAAAAGAAACCCAGTGAGATTGGCTTATTCAGAAACTGTGGAAAATCTCGACTTGTTTCATTGAGAGATATAGCATGACAATTAGGGCAGGATGGACGGGGAAATAATGTAGTGGAATGTGTGTAGCCTACCATCCAGTACACATTTTTGTGGATCCTTATAGAGGCGGTGGGTAGCCTAGTGGTTAAAGCGCTGGCTGCCACGCCCGAGGATCCGGTTCGATTCCCCACATGGGCACAATGTGTGAAGCTCATTTCTGGTGTCCCCCGCCATTGATGTTGCTGGAATATTGCTAAAAGCGCGTAAAACTAAACTCAGTCAGTCAGTGGATCCTTATAACAATCATGATGTACTGTTGGCCTACAGTTTGTACTCACCTGGGGGTGAGAATTATGGCAAAAACACTGACAATGGCCCTCCGAGGGTTTGTGTTAGCATTTAGGAAAATACACTGTTTTCTCTAGGATCATCTAAAGGTTTAACACATTCATATACCAAACATATTTCGGCAGTGTCTACAGGCCCTTCAGGAACTACACCAACCTGAGGGCCACTTACAGAATGCAACATTGCCTAGAATACACAACTTGAGTTCAATATGTTCCTGTTTTGTGGAAGCACGGGTTACTGAAGCATTGCCTGCTGGAAACAACAATAATTCCCGCATTTGGTTGCAGGATGCAAAGCGACCTCAGTGGCCTTGTACCAAAATTTGATAGTGCCTCAATGGAGTGAAGCTGTTTGTTTAGCTGGATGATACTGAAGGTTAGGGCTGGGGGTCGGTTTGGAGGAGGAAGAGGGATGTGGTACACGGACAAGAGTAATTCTAGCTACGGAGTCCCTTCCCTACCTCACTGCCCGATAAACAAGTCCTTCTGTTGATAACATAGCCATAAACTGCGTCTAAATACTGGTAACTCCAGCCTCTCTCTCTTCTTAATATTCCAATTGTTAGTGTCATTGTTTGTCTTTGGGACACTCAGGATTTCGGTTGTTGATCTTTTACTCATAAATAGTTTGTATATTGAGATGTATTTGGTAAACTGTGTATGTGTTGAGTATGGCTGAGTTTACTTGTTCGCCTGTAAACCTGGTTAGCTTGGATGGAGATAGGGCTGAAGGATGGTGGTGGTGTTATCTAGCCACTATCTGGTAATTCAGTTTGTGGGAGGGGGTGCAGCATGCACTGAGGAAGGCCTACACACTGCTCCTGTCTGGTCCCAATGAGATTAGTTGTAGCCACGCAGTATGTTGGTGTTATTTGGCATGGCTATGTTGATTAAGGCTTTAAGTAGGAAGTGTAGGTGTATCTTGTTTACAACTATCCTTTGTTTTGTGCACATTCAAAATCCATGGGCAGGGGAAGGCAACGGGTGAGAGGGGTAGATGAGGGGGTGAGAGGGTGAGAGTGGAAGGTGAGGGGTGGTAGGGTGAGAGGGGAGGGAGGGTGGTAGGGTGAGAATGGAAGGCGAGGGGTGGTAGGGTGAAAGTAGAAGGTGAGAGTGGGAAGGCAAGGGGTGAGGGTGGAAGTGAGGGGTGAGGGTGGAATCTCACGAGGGGTGAGGGGTGGAATCTGAGGGGTGAGGGTGGGAGGAGAAGGGTGGTAGGGTGAAAGTAGAAGGTGAGAGTGGAAGGCAAAGGGGGTGAGGGTGGAAGAGGAAGGGTGAGAGCGGAAGGCAAGGTGTGAGAGTGGAAGAGGGAGGGGTGAGAGGCGGAAGGGGAGGGGTGAGGAGTGGAAGGGGAGGGTGAAAGGTGGAGGATGGAAGCACACATGGACCACATGAACACATGACTGACAGGACACCACGAGAAAGAACCACATGACCTGGCTCCCAGTGAACCCCAGGACTGAACCTCACAGGACACATGGATCACATCAGACACAGACACCACAGGACCACATGGAGAGGACACATGGACCCACACAGGACACACCAGACAGCACAGGAAAACACAGAATGGAGACCGACCAGAAAGGAGGCATGACACATGAAAGCCACATGGAGGACACAGACAAGGAAACACAACATGGAGGAACGATGACAGCTGCAGTGGACGAGACCACGAAGGAAGGACCAAACCACATGGACAGACACAGGAAGGACCGGACAGGAAAGAAATGGAGGACCACAGAATGGCTGACAACCCCAGGAAAACAGACTGAGACAGACCACACAGGAGGACAGGGATGGACACAGGAGACACACGATCCCAGACATGGACAGGACATGGAGGCACAAATACAGACACAGAGGCAGGACCAGTGACAGACCAGGAGGAAACCATGGAATGGAGGACCAGACACACGAACACGAGCCGAGACACGAGACAGAGAACCAAGGGAATGTATTAAATAGGGCCTCACTCAAGTTAGGGGTGGAAATAACTTTAAAATTGCTAGTGTACTCCGGTACAGTGGCACATGTAAAATCACTTGCCCTGATAATTTTTCCACTATACCGTCCGTTTTCTTGTTGATTTTTTAAATAAACAACGTAATTAACGTTGGAATATCAACTGGACACCGGTACAGTGTGATATACAAATTTGCTTGCCCGACAGAAAAAACCACTGGACTCGGGCGTCGGGCAATGGGTTATTTCCACCCCTGCAAGTCTAGAATGATCTGGCACGTCAAGTTAACCTCAGCTCTAGAAATTAGGTATTTTTTTGTTTGCTCTATTGGATTTCTTTTGTTCATAAATATTTAACAAATCATTTTTAAATAAGATATCGTTCTGGCACTAAGTGTCAGTCCATCTCTTGTCTATACGTTTCTCGCCAACAATAACCCAACTGAAATTGATGCACCTGCAAGAAGGAAGAAAATCAACTCAAGAAATAAATATACTGTTAAGGGACACTGGATCCGTGAAGATCCTGGTTAGAATTGATCTTCAGTAACCCATGCTTATCGTAAGAGGCGACTGTCTGGATCTGGTGGTCAGGCTCGCTGACTTGGCTGACACATGTCTCAATTGCATAGCTCATGCTGTTAATCACCGGATTGTCTGGTCCAGACTCGATTATTTACAGATCGCTGCCTCATAGCTGGACAATTGTTTAGTGGGGTGTTAAAAAAACAAACAAAACAAATGGAATTTGTGCCTGACTAACACTTACTTGTCACTCAACATCAGTCTGAACAAACTAACTAATTCCTGTGTTGTCTCGGGTTCAATAATACATGACAGTCATCAAAGGTCTATGATTTGACATACTGTTGCATCTGTGTTTGGACCGCCTCCGTGGTGTAGTGGTTAGAGCGTCCGCCCGGAGAGCGGAAGGTCGTGGGTTCGATCCCCGACCGCGTCATACCAAAAGACGTTAAAATATGGTACTTGTTGGTCCCTGCCTGGCGCTCGGCATTAATGGGTACAACAAGGACTGGTCGGCTCGGAGTCAGTATAATGTGTCTGAGTGGGGTATTCATGCTTCACTGCGGCATGGTATCTCAGTGGGCTAGCACTATAAAACCAGCTTAAGTCTGGGCTAGTACAAGCAGCCGCACATACACATGCACATACACATACACACGCATGCACGTCGTCATATGAGCGAAATATTCTCAAGTACGACGTAAAGCCCAATTTCACCTCACCTCACCTGCATCTGTGTTTTAACTTTGATACATCATGTTTGATATATCATATGTGACCAGGGTGCATTCTGCTTTAGTATGGTACAGCTTGGTTTTTACATCAGCATGCAACTGGTGCAGGTTATATCATGTTCCTTACATCCATCCCTGCTGAGTTATCTTGCAGGACTGGTGCTGTCTTTGTTCATGAGTCTTTGAGATTTTAACTAGCCTCGGCAATCAGGCCAGCATGTATCCAACATGTCAAAATGTTTGAGCTGCCTGATCAGACTTGGGTCATGGTATGGCTTTCAGTACATTGTAGTCTTGATATAGGGATTATCATAAGCTCAGCTAACTCGACCCAATAGAATATTGTCAGACTCTGGCTTTGGACTTGTGGCATGGCCACCGAGTGCCCTCATGAGACTCGTTCTGGAGAACTTTGTGGAGAACCTTGTGGAAAACTTGGAGAACTTTCTGGAGAACTTTCCATAGCCCTGATTGACACAAAACTTGAACTTAAAACTAAAGAAACGTATTTCATATACTGGACATTTTCATGTATTCAAACTTGAATTAAAGAAAATTGAAAGATTCAGGAGAGAGGTTGGAATATTTTGATAGGGTTTTACACAATTTAGAAAAGTGCATCCAGTATGCACAAAATATCTTTACAGAATTGATGCTGACAAATGATATATGCTCATATTACAAACTTCATGAACAGATTTATAAAAGTCTTGTAATTATTATAAAATTATTTATTATCCAAACTTTCTGTACAATATTCTACTCAGGATGACCTGTGGCATCATGGAGGGAATTACTTTGCTTCGTCAGTTCTGGGGAGGAGAATCTCTTGACCAGACTAATCAAATATTGCTTATCAACTTTGTCATGAGTGTAACCATGCCAGCATTACAGGAACATTTCCAGAACCTGAATCCCTTGTCATCAGATGAAGATTTGGGATTAATAAAGATGACCGACTGGCTGAATATGGTTTTACGCTGTTTTTAGCAATAATCCAGCAATATCACGGCGGGGGACACCAGAAATGGGCTTCACAAGTTGTACCCTTGTGGGGAATCGAACCCGGGCCTTCGGCGTGACAAGCGAATGCTTTAACCACAAGGCTACCCCACCGCCCCTAATGAAGATGAAGATGGTGACACCACAACATAACACTTGCTTGTTACAGTGGGAATTAGGGTAACATGGTCACTCATTTTCTCATAGTATATAACACATGCGAATATGTGTTCAATTTTCTTTCTTTCTTTCAGAGAACAAATTTTACGAGTGAAAAATGACGAAAACATTCCATTCCTGTTGGTTGGGAACAAGTGTGACTTAGAGGAGAAGCGACAAGTTAGTAATGACGAAGCCACAAAACGGGCCCAGGAATGGAAGGTGGTGTACGTGGAAACCTCAGCAAAGACCAGGACGAACGTAGACAAGGTAAAATAAACCATCAACTCCTGTTTTTCACTGTTTCGTTGGCTGATTTTGGACACTAAATTGTAATCGTTTTAGTTCTGATGGTGTTGCATTCTGGGAAGAATGTCAGCCATATTTGATATTTTTACTTCTTGCATGAATTTTGCTAACATTCTTAATAATTGCATTAATTTGATCCTGTTTTCTTTGAGCATTGTTGTTGTCTTTGTTTTACCACATAAATATCAACATATTCTGTAACAGTGATGGATGAACTTACATGCTTTTCGTTTGAGGGCAGTAACATGTTGGTGTCTGCAATTTCTGAATGACATACATTTGAGATGAATTTTCAGCCCATTTTCAGTAATCATATATACAACCCTGGAAGTGGTAATATCCCAAGTGTCTGGACACGTTGTGTGAAGGCTTCAGGCTGATGAATTATGGTCGAAGCCACTTTTTGTATAATTGATGAGTCGGAACAATTCCCTAAGCTGTGAGTCCAGAGCGTGTGAGGCCCCTTCTCCTTATGTCGTTAAGACAGCGACGTTGCCTACTACTTAATTAACGGGCTAGGTAGTAGGAATACCTATAACGACCCCTGAATACCTATAATGACCCCTGACCACTTTCTGACTGCCTTAGGGTCTGGCATTAATGCTCTTAGTGGGGTAGAGCTTCACAGGGACAATTGGGATTCTTCCACAGATAGGTTACTAGAGTTTTGTCACTGGTAAGATTGATGATGGTTTGAAACATTTCACATGGTCACGGTGGGGGGGAGAGGGAATTTGTGCTTATTTTTGTTTGTTTTTAGTATTGTGAAATGTTTCAATCCATGGGTAATGATGACACAAACAACAAGGTCGTCGAGTCTGAGGTTCTGATCCATTCAGTGCATGACTCCCTGTTTCAATCAGGAAATGTTGGGGATCTTTTAAGACCTATTTTACCTGAAGATGTTGTTGATTGGAAATATTAGTTTTGAGATTGATTAGTAATAAAATTAGTCTTTCTTAATTGATATAGATATACATTACCTATGTAGGTGTTCTATTAATCAATGTTAAATAGGATGACCAATAGGATGTTTCAAGTTGAATTTTGGCCAATTCATAGAATATATTTATTATGCTAATCTAATAATGTAAACATTTCTGAAGCAGTGAATTATTAATTTTTTTATCGATATTCATAAATGTATTTCAGTATGGAATTAGTAACAGTGATATATTGTGATATATGATGCTGTGGCTAGTTTTATCTTCACTGTGGAGATTATAAACTAACTGAGTAGAGTGTTTATAGAAACAGCTGTTGAATATTCAGGACTTGAGTTATAAATATGCTGGTAGTGTTTGACAATTGTAGCGTGTTTCTTATTGTCGTTAATAGCTGCTAAGTTGACATGAAACATCGTTGACTCTCACAGCTTGGACTGAAGTAGTTCCTGGTTAGCTCTCTCAGGATAAGAGAGTGTGACGATGAGGAAGAGAAACATCCGACTGCCTGGTCTGCCTGCATTCACATGCACCATTTCCTGTCAACTGTGCTGGAAGGCGTGTGCTTAAGGCGGTCCGTGGTGCTTCTCATGCAGGCTTTTATCAGAAAAACTCACCAGTTGAAGGTGGCAGCAGAGTCGAGGGATCTGTGTCAAAACCTGAATTTTATAAGGTTAAACATCACGGGTCCTTAACATTCAATTACCACAGTTGAGTGAGTGAGTGAGTTTAGTTTTACGCCGCAATATCCCGGCTATATGGCGGCGGTCTGTAAATAATCGAGTCTGGACCAGACAATCCAGTGATCAACAGCATGAGCATCGATCTGCGCAATTGGGAACCGATGACATGTGTCAACCAAGTCAGCGAAACTGACCACCCGATCCTGTTAGTCACCTCTTACGACAAGCACAGTTGATCTCAAGGAGCACCAGACTGTCCTTGAGGTGGCGGGGTAGCCTAGTGGTTAAAGTGTTCACACCAAAGACCTGGGTTTGATTCCCCACATGGGTACAATGTGTGACACCCATTTATGGTGTCCCCCAATATTGCTGGAATATTGCTTCAAATACTGCAAATTTCTGTGTTGACCAGTTTGTGATACATTCCTGAGACTGCAAGAAACTGTGAGATGAGTTGAGGTGAAACAGTGTCATGGTCAGATTGTGATTTTGCTGGAATATTGCAGAAAGTGGTCTAAAACCAGACTCACTCACTCACTCTATTGATGCATGACATAGCCTGGGGATTGATCCACTGAGCTTCCACTTCAGGAAGAGCCTGTATCTTTCAGGTCGTACGCTTGCATTCATTCCACTGGCAGCATTGTGGTAAAGTGACTGCTTCCCGAACCTGGAGTATTTGACATAGCAGTATGATAGACAGTCCACCTACCCACTAGTCAGTGTAATTAGTCGACTATCAGGAGAGCTGTGGATACCTCTGGCTTATCGCTGATGGTCTGTGTGCTCCTGTGGTGGAGCTTTCAGATCCCAGGTTTTATTGTAATTGTGCCCAGTAATTTCTGATGGACTCATAGATTAGAGAGGAAGGTTGGGATTACAGTTGAAGTAGGACTGTTTGAAGTGATGGAGGTAGTATCAGAGTATGCTCAGATAAGAGTCTGTGATGATGATGTTTTGAAATGAAGATTTGTGTTGCTGCCATGCCATGTTTAGTCAGTCTGAGCACTTTGAGAACATGATGCAAACGTGGCTCTGAGCATCAGTTTTAGTGGAGTTTAATGTCACTGTATGAAGTGTTATCAGCTGAGTTTATTAGATAGGCCAGAATTTTGCTAAGGCATTGGCTTCAGCCTTGGGGCTATAATTCTAAACTGATAATGTATACTCATCAAAAGAAGTTAAGGATCACCTGGAATATTAATATTTGTATTAATATAATTATTAATATCTGTAATAAGTTGAAGGATCAGCAGGTGTTCTGTATCTTCTTTTGACCAGTATATACAGACTCAAGGTTTCAGTTTTGATTCTACCTTAAGGGGTTGGATAGTTTTATGTGCTTTGATAAAGCCTGGTATTAGGATTCTTTTTGTAAAGATCTGAAAATGGTTGATGTCTGTGTAAGCCTTGAATTCAGATTTTTCTCAGAGGCTTTGGATAGGGTTCATGTGCCTGCTCATCTCACCAAAGGGACCCCTCCCCTAGTGTAGTGGACAGAATGTCTGTAGCAGGGCGTGGATTCATCCCACAGTTGACATCCTTACCTTATCAACTTGCTGACGGGGTTAACCTTGGTCATGTGGACAAGGCGTCTGAATTCTGATCAGAAGGTCTGTGGTTCGAATAACAGCACGGGACTCGGAAATTTTATGGCCGCGACAAGTCTACCCAGAGAGCTTGAGGTAGGGGTTTGAACATCAGTCACATCATACCTAAAGTCGTTAGTTGGTACTTTTTGTTTCCCTGTCTGGTAATCAGCATTTATGGGATAAAACGAGGGCTAGTTGGCTGGGTGTCTGTGTACTATAGCTGAATTTGGTTTCCATGTTAAACTGCTCTGTTGTATCTCTACGTAATGGTATAAAAGTGCGATTAGTCCAGATTAGAACATGCAGCTGCACATACACATATACAGTTGTGCATGTATGAGTGCAGTAATCTTGAACTCCATTTCACCTCTCATCTTACTGATGGCCAAGTTTGAAGTTTCTTCAGTGTATATCTGCATTCCCATTTAGATAGGAATAGATATCTTTGGATCCAGAATTTCTTCTAATGAATCCAATAACTGTAAACCTTGGGGATATTTATTTCAAGAGGCAACTGATTATGTCTTTGAGACAAGGATTTATGGATAAAATATTTAGGATAAAAGGTCTGGCAAATGTTCAACTATACCACTCAAATAGAAGCTGTTCTTGTGGTGTAATTACAGATGGGCTTGTGTATGTTGACCGCAGACGCAGGTAATCAGAGTTATTTCAGTGACCACATTACTGGGCGGTCTGACGTACATGGGAGCGGAGACTACATTCCAGACACTGGAAATACACCTGTAGGAATTGGCCTCATGTTTTCATAAATGTAGCCTTGAGTTGTCAGGGTATAGGTCGGTAAGGTCAGCGTGCCAAACTCACTCACCTGTCACAACAAAACAACAGCAGACAATTTGCCCGTCTGCTGCTTTAGCCACTTGTCCAAAACTGAGTATGTAACGCATCCTCTGTTATGAACAACTGATGATTTTCTATACTATGATATGCTTGTGAAGATCAGACTTACTATTGGTATTCATTACCCATGTTTTGCACAAGAGGCAACTTAGAGTGGATTATAAGCTACGGGATTTATCGGAAAGATTTGCTTCAGCTGAAAATGAACCCATGATAACTCTTGCTTCTTGTTTGAGGTGACTTTAGGATCAACCAGGTCACAGTCTTCAGATTGGGCGGATACATTATGAGCTAGGGCTTATCGGAGAGATTTGCTTGAGCTGAAAATGAACCCATGATAACCCTTGTTAAAATTTGTCTTCACCAACCCATGCTTCTTGTATCAAGTGACTTTTGGGATCAACCAGGTCACACTTATAACATATGCTATATTTGGGATTACACTTTCTTAGGAAAGTACAGTTTCTAGCACTTTTGTTGGGTTGGGTCCCATCCGGGATTCAAACCCACACCCTCAGAGTCAGGCACCTAATCGCCAGCACACAACGTGAGATGCCTCATGGCTTCCACTACAGTTTGCAAAAATGGAAGCTGGACAACTGGTAGACCATGGACTTTGTGTACCCCTCCGATAGGTGACTCTTGCTACCTCAACAGTTTGAAAACCTGAGGTGAGGTGAGGTGAAATCGGGTTTAACATAGTGCTTGAGAATATTTCGCTCATATGACGACGTGCATGTGTGTGTATGTGTATGTGCGGCTGCTTGTACTAGCCCAGACTTAAGCTGGTTTTATAGTGCTAGCCCACTGAGATACCATGCGCAGTGAAGCATGAATACCCCACTCGGACACATTATACTCCGAGCCGACCAGTCCTT